AAATGACAGGTTAATTTCAATATTGTAACTTGTTTAGTGCTTGTGAAAAAAATTGTTAAACAAATTTTATGTACCTCCTTTAAGGGGCTGTATCTTAACAAGGGATGCTCCAATGAAGTTTTTTTATATGAAAGATCCTATCTTTTTTTCGATGAGGAATCACCCCCTTAAATGTTTTACACTTATTTAGTTACACCCTGTATAAAAACGAAAATAAATCAAACTCAAATGTGATCAAGACGTAAAATAAAATAAATAAGCTAAAAGCCAGTAACATATAATTACGAGCGACCGTTTCTCTTTAGAAAACAACTACTCCTTTGGCTAATACCGCTAATATTGCAACAGGTATTGAATTATATCCAAAGGAATAACAACAGAGTTAAAAAATAAATTTCAACACTCTACCTTTGATTTTTCTCACTAAGGAGAACATCATTGTTGCACCGGTTTTGTCCTTATTAGGACTTTCAGCAAGAAAAAAAAAAGGTTCTTAATTCCAGTCTCTAATGGAATTAACAAAGGTAGAGTGTTGAAATTTAATTTCTAACTCTGCTGTCCTTCCTTCGGATATAATTCAATACCTGTTGCGGTATTAGCCAAAGAAGTAGTTGTTTTCTGAAAGAAAACGGTCCCTCATAGATATATGATATTGGCTTTTAGTTTATTTATTTTATTTTACGTCTTGATCACATTTGAGTTTGATTTATTTTCGTTTCTACAAATTGACAGCCTGATTTTTTGGTTCCACCTAGTTTTCTAACTGGGTATTACAGCGCCCTTTGATTTTGCTTACTAGGAACAGATGGCGACACCATTTCTCTACTTGAATTCTTATTCTCTTCGTAACTAACTTTATTGTATACTGGTGAAATGTGTAGCATTTGTTAATTCCATTAGAGACTAGAATTTCTTGCTGTCCTAATAAGAAAGAAACCGATCCAAGAATGATGTTCTCCTTAGTTAGCAAAATCAAAGGAAGAGCGTTGAAATTTAGTTTTTAACTCTGCTGTCTTTCCTTCGGATATAATTCAATACCTGTTGCGGTATTAGCCAAAGGAGTAGTTGTTTTCTGAGATGAAACAGTCGTTTGTAATTATGTAATATTGGCTTTTGTTTTATTTATTTTATAACAATATATGTGTAACAAAGAATGGCGTGACATCTGACAATTGACATTACTTTTCCTTCTGAGATCAACAAATTTCTAGACTCGAACTTATATAAAGAAAAGCATTATTTATAAACTAAATGGGTTTATAACAATAACTTTGATAAAATTAAACTAAATTAGAATTGAAATACCTATTTGTTGTGTTTACCTTTTAAATAACCCTGTATAATTGGAAATTAAATAAGTATTTTCATCAATATTACAGCATTTAAAATCCAATGGCAATATTTAAATGAAAAATAGTAAAAGAGAATTAGTTTATTATAGGATTTGTAGTTTTATTTAAGTACACTCTAATAGGTATTTATGTACCAAGGGTATAAATAGATGTTTATGCCCTGAGAGCGACGTCTTACGAACCCGAGGGCCTCTGGCCCGAGGGTTTGTAAATCGCCCGAGGGAATACACATCTGTTTATGCCCGCGGTACATACAAACTTTTATGTCATACTAGTTCGTTATTGCAATCCAATCTCAATATAAATCAGTATTTTAAAAATTCCTGTTTGAATTAATAAAATTGCCATTTTATCATAGTAGACACTATCGTTGCTAGGTGAATGTTGACAAACGTAATGTCATAAAATCACAATAATTTTTATATGTGTCAAAGTTAGAAGTCCGAGTTTCTTGTGGTCCAAATATTCCATGGTAAAGAAGACTTTAATAGTAAATAAAAATATTACCATTGCTAATTATCATAAGTTAACGGAATATTTGAAGCAAACTTCAAAAGGCTACAAACCAAAGACGTCTAAAATTCTGTCTGGAGATGTTTTAAAATTTATTCATAAGGCACCGAACGAGACGTTTTTAATGAACAAAGTTGCATTAATATTTGAAATATTTGGTGGATGTCGACGGCAAGAACTTGTGAACATGTTAGTTACTCATGTAGAAGATAGAAAATCGGTTTTTATGGTAAATGTACCAGAGACAAAGACCGATAAAAAACGCATTTTTACCATTATAGATGAGGGTGAAATGAACAGTTTAAAGCTAATGTCACTACGGCCACGTGGTTCCTCAGAAAAAAGGCTTTTTCTAACCTGTAGACAAGGTCGATGTGCTGTACAGCCAGTATGAAAAACCACATTTGAAAAAATCCCGTCCATTATAGCGATATATCTGGGTTTAAGTGATCCTGAGAAATATACAGGTCATTGTAGGTGTCGAACGTCAGCAACTCTTCTTGCAGAGGCTGGAGCCAGTATGACCACTTTGAAGCGCCATGGTCGATAGAAGAGTACGTCGGTTGCTGAAGGATATTTAGAGGATAGTTTATCTTTAAAAAACGAAGTTTCAAGAATGCTGGCAGGTGTACCTTCCGGGTCTGGCGTTTCGGTACAAAAATTTGATACTCAAACAATGAAACATGAATCGTTTGCTGCAGGCAACTTAACTATCACCGTATCTTTTCAGAACTGCCAATTTCATGTTAATTCGTCAAAATAATGTTCATCGAATATTTACATATATTACTATATTCCGTTTGTAATTTCATTAATAAAGGTTATTAAATAAGTTAAACAAAAAATTATTTCTCGTTATGCCCGCGGGCATAAAGTGAACTTTATGCCCGCACTGGCATAAAGTACGACATTAGATAGTTGGTAACTAAGCAATAAAAACAATAATGAACTAGGATGACATAAAAAATTAAAATGTCGCCATTATTAATTTAATGATTCACCCAGTATGCACACAGTCGGGATTGAGCATTTAAGGCAAACTGGCAAGTTTTTAAAGGAAAAAGCATCCAAAGTCTTGTCCACTGCTTGGACCAAGAACTTGTGTGGAAGTTTCTAACTTAAGTATTTGTGTGAGATTAGTTTTGGTAAAATAAGTTTGAAAATAAGATCAATTGAAAAAATTTTCGAAAGACAGAAGTTCGAGAGTAAGAAAAGATCAAAACGAATAATTGAAAACGCATATGATTTAAATTACAAATGATCTAAGACACATTTGTTTGAAAGTAGTATTTATCGTAATGGTATAAGATCAAAAGCATTATATTACGAAATTAGTAAATACATTTATTTTTTAATTTTTTATTTTATGTATTTTTTTTTTGAAACAAACTGCGATTGCTTCAGCCCATGCAGGTTAGGTAAATTATAACAACTTCACTAATTAACCTAACTTGTGTGGTCGTCGCGGTTTGTTTCGTGAAAAAATCATATATAAAATAAAAAAAGAATAAACTAATTTAGTGATATTATGCATTATTTCGATCATATTATAACATTTCGATCATTAGTAGTTCTAAACACGTGATTTCGAACCTTTGTACTTTCAATCAAATCTTATTTCGAATTTTGGGGTATCGAACTTTTCTCGATATCGACCTTTTCAATTTCAAGCTTTTTTAGTTTCGAAGTTTTGTCATACGAACTTTGGTATTTTGTAAGTTTTTTCATTTGAACTTTTATAGTTCGAGCTATTGTTTTCTCCTTGTTGTATTTCTTTTCTTAGTTAGTTAGTTAGTTAGTTAGGGTCTTCTCTTTAGACGAATAATTGTGTTTGGCAGAATGACACATATTTCTATGCCAAAAAAACTTTTGTTTTCGAATTTTTTAGTTTAAACTTTTGTTATTCAAACTTATTTCACCAATTCATTTGAGACTATGGTTAATACAAGAAACTTTTTTGGGTAGTTTTGGTTCCTGTTCTTATTATATTGCTTTTTATTTTCTATATATAGTCCTAGCAAGATTAAAACCTTCGATCTTGCTTTGTTTGTGTTGGACTAAATAGTAAATTGTGTTCAAATGTGCTGGAGAGGAAAGGAGGTGGTAGCAGGTTACCGATCCGTGACTCTAACTGTGAATGGCACCAATGATAATGTGTCGTTTCTTTTTTTCCATGTGAGGGAGCCATTTAATATTCACTCAAACATAAGCAAAGTAGGACTGAAGGTTTGATCTTATCAGTACTCTACATACATGCCTAATATTGTTACTCGTACTCAAATACATTGTATAAACTTAGCCAATACATAAAAACATTATTTTAATTTAAAAGTATCCTAAAAAGTATCCTAAGGAAGTATCCGGATACTTGTCTCCGAATACATTTTTAGACGAATGTATCCTTACTTTTTTTAAAAAGTATTCGGATATATATTGTCAGTATCCGTATCCGATACTCGGATAGTTTTTTCTTGTATCCGACACAACTCTGGTGCTTCCAATGTGGGTTATTATTAAACGATTTCCTTTTCCTCTTGGATTTTTTAATTCACAAGAGATCCCTTCTTAAAGGCTTGTTTTTTAGTTTTGATGGAGGTATCTTGCCAAATTTTTATTACTTTATGTCCAGCATTAACCCATGTTTCATTTAAATAAAATAACCTGTTTTTTACTGATTCTTTGCGTCCTCTATTTTCCTTAAATAGCTGTTTATAACCTGTTTTCTATAACGAAAATTTAATTCCTGTAATATTTTTGCAGACAAAAATATAATATATTTGGAAGATTGTGGCTATTTTTTTTCTCTGAGTGTAATATTTTAAGTGTATGAATTTCATTTCATTAGAAATATCGCGACGAATTGAGAACCTCCACCTTTTTTTTTTTAAGTCGGTTAAAAAAATCATAATAATACTAGATAATTTGACACCTGGCCACCTCAGATGATAGATAACAATAAGGAGAGGCAAGATTAATCTTGATATTCCATCAAGACTTCCATACTACTTAAGGGTAACCATTGGTTGATGCGTTTGACTCATTTGACATGATAAAGTATTAAATAAGATACGTAGTGCGTGCAAATCACTACATATTAGTTATGGTTCAATTTTTTTCTATTTTGTTGACACTTACAAAGAGTTCCAGTTCCAAAATCAATGTCGTACTGGTCGAGAGATTTGCGGAAAGAGTCGATATAAAACATTTTGTTCCGTTTGTAATCAAACGCTATGCCGTTGGCTATTCCAATTTCAGTTCTATGTGATTTAACTGCGTTATTTGTAAAGCTGTAAAGAGTACCCTGCTTGTCAACAAGAGCTTCAAGGCTGGTAGCGGCAGCTGCCATCGTACCTACAAAAGAGAAAAATTAATATATCCCACAAATATCTACAGAAAGAATTTTAGATTAATTAAATCATATAATATACTTTATAGTCCTCGATATTTAATGGGTCTAATAAGATATTGTATCTTACATTATTCGTATTGTAAGCTTGAAAACGGCAATTATTTTAAACGACGTAGAAACTGGATCATTGTGCTAATTTGCTACCTTACCTGCCCATATTCGTCCAGTTTTGTCGCACTTTCCATCATTAAACACATGTTTAGTACCATGATCTACCTCGTATAATATTTTATTAATTGTGAGTTTGTTACTTTCTCCATCCCAATGTATAAGAGCTATGGATCTATCCAAAGTTACAACAAAGTGGTCTTTCTTGTCCTTTACTGGAATTATTATTGACACATTTTGGTCACCTAAAAAAATAAAACCAAATGTTCATTTGCTAATTGTTTATCTTAAGAACCTTAAGTTGTAGGTATACTTTGTAACGAGCATTTTGATACTCGTTAGGTTTTTATTTTTTTGTATAATTATATTTATTATTTAAACATAGGAAAGTTAATAAATATTGTAACTCTCATTGGGATTTGTATTCCCTATTTTTATATTTAATATTTAAAGGTACTTTGGAATTGATGTAGAGAGAATCGTCTACGCAACGGTGATCCTGCTTAATGCCAGAGATAGGAAGAAGAAGGTGATAAAAGTTCTGGCAAATGAAAAGCCGGGAACTTTTCGTTTTGTAAATTTATCCCACCTCTCTTTCCTATCTTATCTTTGAAGAGTTTTATTTTAATCAAAATGAGGTGATGGACGTGATGGTCTAATATATAACAATAGGTAGAAGCTTTTTCTTTATTGATCTTAAAGTGAATTATTTTCTAAACGCCGTTTTAGAGCGTTGCTTATCAATTATCGGGTCGGTGGTGTAGCAGTCTAACGCGCTTATATTTATTTATAGGCAAGTTTATGGTCCGAGACTGCCGGTCTTTGAATCCCAGACCAGACCATGTGGATTTTTAATTAAATTGCATGGTTCGGTATTGGATTTGATGTGTGCCGTATTAATATAAATTCAGTTTCTGTTGATATGACATGCAGATCATAAAATCGCCATGAATTACCGTCTCGATGATGGTGGGTGAGATTTTTCGGGTTTTCCTCACCTGTAAGTCAAATGGCACCATCAATCATCTTTAAATCGCCACGGCAAATAATAATAATAGCCGTCCCTTTCCCCGCACAAGCTCAGCTTTTGGGGTTTATATTCACTCGTAAGGGGGTGAATTAGGGAGAGTAATATTATTATTAATAATATTATTAAGAGTATTTGTGGTTAGCTAATGTATATTTCATTAATTTAGGTCCATATCATTGGGTAGGGATGGATATTAATTAGTTAAGTTGAAAAAGGAAATGTTCAGCTATTTCGAGGTTTTTTTTTAGAGAAGCCCTTTCATGTCTTAACACGGCAACGGATTTTGAACTTTATTGCCTCGTAATTTGAAGTGGTTCATTTTATGTTTTACCAGCTGCAACGGATTTAATGTACCGTGAAATGGGGCGACTTTGCCCAATTCTGAACTTTAAATCGTTCTTGTTTCATAAAGTGTTTTATTTTCTGGAAAACGTATGATCTATACTACAAGTGGCAATAAGGACAACACAACAGTAATGTTGTTTTTTGCTCACTATAAAAAATAATATTTAAAAAAAAATTGAAAACTGGGTGGGCAAAGTTAGTTGCCTATATGGGGTGTCTTTGCCCACTTCATTATTTTGATTGATAGAGCAAAGCCACCCCATTTAAAAGTGTAATTACGCAAAATACGTTTTAAAAAATATATATATCAATATATTTTGTTAGTTACAAAGAGTTATACACCCAGTTCAACATATTTATTTATAAAAAATACAAACTTATCCAACTAACATAGCATAATTATTAAGCAACTAACTTATTTAAGACATAAGACACATTTTTGCCTAATTTATATAGTTCTTTAAGTCAACCCCAAAAATAATTCTTCCACGATGGCAGCTTACAGGTGCAGGAAGAACACCAACGATTTGCTCCAAGTTTACATCAGAAATGTCGGGTGCGTTAGGAAAGACGAAAACTTTCTTGTCTTGTGTGCGAAAGCAACTAACTGAAAATTCTTGTCTATTTTTATAGATGTCTATAATTCTGGCCACATAGTGCTTGTAAGATGTTTTTTTGCCTGTGCCAAATTTTACAATAACATAATCATCAATGCTAAGTTTTTCTGGATTCACTTGCATATTTATTTCAAAACCTGAAAGGCTTTCTGTACTGTCTGAGCTGTGGTGTAAAGAGATGTGTTCTTCCTCTGAGTCGCTGCTGTCGTCAGAGTCAGTTTCAAGATGCTGTTTTTTTCTCTTGCTGCAACCAGCTGTAAGTTCAGAATTTTCCATAGATAGTTTTTCTTGTTTACAGTCAGGAGGTTGTAAATCAATTAAGGAAACAGATTTTCCTGCGGGAATAGCAATTTTCTTTTGCCGACCTTTGGTAGGAAACTCCTTATCCCCTTTTCTGCAAGCTTGAAGATAATTGAGGAGTGTATCACTTACTAACCTGTGAGCTTCATCCTGAGCTTGCAAAGGCGCACCCGGTATTTTTTTCAGCACCTATTGGCGGTTCACTGGAACAATGCCACACGTCTTAAAGCCTGACTTAATACTTTCAGCAATTTTTGGCTTCATCTCTTTGAATAATTTTTTTAGTAGTCTTGAGAAAACCGATTTTTCCAAGCTTACACTGTGAGGATTTTTCATTTTATAATCCGTCAAAATTTTTCTCCAAATTCTTTTGATAGGAGCGAAGCAAGCCACATCTAAAGGCTGGCAAAGATGGGTGGCATTCGCAGGCAGAAAAACAAATTTTATGTCTAGCTCTTCACAGCGCTATATAACTTTTGTGCTGAGGTGGGAACTCAGATTATCCCCAATAATACATTTATAACCTTCCAATTTTTTTGCCCACGGGACAACAACTCGTAAGAACCATTCCTCAAAATTTGACCCGTCAAACCACCCTGATTTGGTTCTTCCGTACCTCGTATCACTAGGGCCCGCTTCAACCCAAGTTCTCCACAAGTTCTCCGCCTTGTATACTACGTAACAAGGTAGCACTTCTCCAATAGCAGACACAGTAAACATTACAGATATGCAGCCTTTGGTCGAGTTGATGTTCCTTTCAGGGTACTTAACTCCTCTTCTAAAGACCATCTTCTTCGATCCCGGATCATCTGAAAAGTTGGTTTCATCGAAGTTAAGAATATTCTGCGCTGGAATATTTTCTAAAGACCTCTCCAGATGATCAAAGTAAGATGTTATCTGCTCTGTTTCAACTGCTGCTCTTGCTCTTTTGACATTTTGGCATTTTCTAACAGTCAGTTCGTCTCGATGTCGGTTTAAGAAATTCCTATACCACATGTCCCCAGGAAGATTATTTTTAAATTGCTTAACAACACGTCCCAGGGTATCAAAATATTCTTTTACAATGAGTCTTATGTCAAGGGAATCCAGTGGCATACCCCAATCTGCACATGTTAGGATTTGACGTAAAATATTTTTTTCTTCTTGTATCGAAAATACAGTTTGTCCGCCGTAATTTTTGGAATATCACTGTGCTATCTTATTGTCCAGAGTTTTCCTAGGTATTTTGTATTGAACCGCAGCCTGTCTTGCTGACATTGTACCACTTCGTACGTCTGCAAGTGCTTGAGCGAGAGCATCGTCAGAATAATTCTTATACTGGCGTGCTCCTAACTTCTTTTTATAAGTCCTGGGCATTTTTCTGAAACAACATGTCTTGATTTAATGCATTTTATATATGCAAAAAGTGCGTTGGGCAAAGTTACTATCTGGTTTATAATTTCCAGGGTGACTTTAGCCGGGTGGGGGGACTTTGCCTACCACGGGTTTAGTTGACATTGGTGACTTTGCCCACCACATTTTTGCCCTCAAAAAAAATTTTTTTTAAGATATGTTACATACTATCATTATACTCAATAATATAATTAACTTTTGCTAAGTACTCACCTCAATATATCGCAGTTAACTGTTGGAGCCAAGTGGAAGTTTGAAACACATAAAATATACGTAAAAAATTGGCTCAGCTTCAAGGCACTATCATTGCTAACATGCAACTGATGGCAAGCGCTCACGCCTGCGTTAGAGACGCGGTACGTCCCCACCAATAATGTCCAGGTAACAGATACCGAGTACCGTTAAAGTAGTGACTACGGGTCCGTTCAACATATTTTCGGGCGTAATTGGGTAAAGCCACCCCACAAGGCAAAGTCACCACATTTCACGGTATCTCTAATGTATGAAGGGTGGATTATTCCCACGGCTCTTAGGCGTCACTAGGCCCATTGTGCATCCTCCTATGATGATAGGCTCCTCCTAGCTCGTGAGCCAGCCTGCAGAATTATCTTATATCGGCCGGTGTTAGTCTTTCTCCATCGAACGTAAATCTTCTAATAAATGAGAGCGTCGAGCAATCCTAAAGAATATCCTCTGCACAGTGTGGATTCTGACAGCCCCATAATATGGAAATGCTTCCGTATTTGGCAATGACTAGTCAGAATGCCTGTGACTAGGCGCAGATTCTGTCTAGTTATATTCATTTGTTTGCTGCAGGATAACTTACGAGCTCCCTGGCAACTCTGCAGTTTCTTGTTTTACTCCATCCTTCCTTGAATTTCACAAGGGAATGTTCTTTAATTACGTCTGTCACTACCGATTTTGTCAGGCCAATAGAAGGGCCAGGTCCAAAAAGTTTTTTGGTGTCTGCTTTCTTGGCTAGTAAATTAGCAAGTCGGTTACTTTTCGATGTGGTGTGACCTTTGATACATCTTAAGGTAATCACATTGTCCATGGATAATTAGGCCAAAGCTTCGTGACATTATAGTATTGCCTATTAACATCTACAGTAGCCATAAGTTACTGCTTATGACCGACCTCTGCACTATCAAACAAAAAAATTCAACATTATTTACAGCTGACATCTTGACCACTTCTTTGGTCAACTTAAATTAATAATATCTACCTCTACCCAATGATATAGACCTAAATTATTAAAATATACATTAGCTAATCACTTAGTTCCTGCAACAAATACCCTTAATCGATAAGCAACGCTCTAGTGCAGCGTTTAGCCAACAATTCACCTTAATACCAATAAAGAAAAATATTCTACTTTACATAATGCTAAACATTAGACCACTACTTCAATAACTTTACTTTGATTAAAATTAAATCCTTCAAAGATAAGAGAGCAAAGACAGAGTTGTGATGTATTTACAACACGAAAAGTTCCTGGATTTTTGTTTCTCAAAGCTTTTATCACCTTCTTCTCTCTATCTCAGGGGTTGCCCAGCATCACCGTCGCGTAAACGATTGTTTCTACATCGAATCCAAAACTAAACAATATATAAGGTGAACTCGAAAAGTCCCTTCAAATATTGAATTTAAAAATACGAAATAAAAATCCCAACGAGAGTAAGATTATTATTTTTCTTATGTTTGAATACACGAACCTATGAATACAAGAAATACACAAAAAATTATAATTCTATAAGTTTAAAACTAATTATTAAGTACATTTTAATATTTATATGGATATTATTCTTTTCTCAGAAATTGATGGATGACTATTTAGGAAACACTGTGTATAAAGCACAAAAACTTGACGGCTTAGTAGCATATCATAATTGGTTAGTAGCATGTAGAATATTATAGCTAGTAAGTGTTACATCTTGTTTCTTTTATCTAAGGTTACATCAATGAGTACGAGGTTAGAGTAGGGTACTGCTTCATTCAGAGACATAAAAGCGTTTCCATACGTTACGTGCTCACCAGCATCGAAAACATTAAATAAAAAAAATAAAAGAACTTTAAAACTATAGATAATTTCTTAAAATAGGCATTACTTTTGTAACATTCTTTGTATAATAAATGGCACTTACCGACTGTTACTTGGGTGTGTTTTTTTGTAGAAGGAACGTATTTGTGAATGGTACTTCTTGTCATATCCAAAAAATAAAGGCACTGATTTTTATCGTCCCAATGAGGACCTTCTCCTAGTAGCAACCCATCTAATATTTTTTCAACAACTGGAGCCATTTGTATCGGATTTAAAATTGCTGTGAAATAAGTGTATAGATAACAAATAACAGTACTTATTAAAAAATGATGAGTAAATATTTCTTCTATATAGTTCAAATAAACTAAATAAATTTTGGATTTAGATCAGGTGAACTTTCTAGCCAATATATCGAACATTTTCCTATTACCTTTGTTGGTAAGTATTTTAAAATATTTGATGAATAATCAAACAAATTTAACTAGGTTAACTATCTACATAAACCATGATACATTTTAATCAAACATTTTTAGATAGAAAGTTACAGAGATTTTCGCCAAGTACACGTATTCTGACATTTCTTTAAAATATTTTTTGTTTTTTAGTTTTTAAGGATAGTAAACAAGCAAATGGAGGAAGAAGAGAGGAAAACCTATATAGATACAACACGGAAGAAAACGTTACAACTAGCAACTACTTTTGAATATTTAGGCACCGAAGATATTAAATTGTACTTGATAAAGCTCGTACAGCAGAAGAAAGCAGGTTAAAAGAAATTAACAAATAAGTAAAGCTCAAAATAAATAATTCCCAATGGAATAGAAGAATAATATTAATTTGTAGTAATCTAATATATGAAGAGGGTCACGGAAGAGGTGGTTAGAGAGGATAGAAGAACTGAAACATAAAAAAGCATGAAAAAAAAAAAGAGAAGCACAAAAAGAGTACAAAACATACAATGATAGAGACCTTTAAGGGTAAAAGGATAAAGAAGGATAGTGTTAAAAATTTAACTTAAATATAAAAATAAACAATAAAGGAAAAAACTCTAAGTCTTTATCACATAAATAACGGGCGACAATTTCCGCTACTGAAAACAACTACTTCTTTGGCTATTACCGCAATATGCATTGCAATACATCAAAAGGTGAACAGCAGAGGTAGAAAATAATTTTCACCATTCTAACTTTGATTTTACATTTTTAGGTGAAAGTCATTCTTGGACCTGATTCGTCCTTATTATGATTCTTTATCAAAAAATAAAAAATTAATTGACTTGCAAGGAAGAATAATTATAATTTTTCTGTGCTTGTCCTTGATATAATTATTACATTGTAGTTTCCTTGAAACATACTCATCAGAACGTATTTTTCTAGATTAAACAAAATGCCCCATATTTATTACTCCTAATCGTTTAACAAACCTTTTTATATCATTCATAAAAATAGGATGGGAAATAATTATATCTACTGACCATCTCGGAAAATTATAATTAATCTTCCTTAAGATAAGTCGATTAATTTTCCTTCGCTTGTCTTTAATAATAATAATAATAATAATAATAATAATAATAATAATAATAATAATAATAATAATAATAATAATAATAATAATAATAATAATAATAATAATTAATAATAATAATAATAATAATAATAATAATTAATAATAATAATAATAATAATAATAATAATAATAATAATAATAATAATAATAATAATAATAATAATAATAATAATAATAATAATAATAATAATAATAATAATAATAATAATAATAATAATAATAATAATAATAATAATAATAATAATAATAATAATAATAATAATAATAATAATAATAATAATAATAATAATAATAATAATAATAATAATAATAATAATAATAATAATAATAATAATAATAATAATAATAATAATAATAATAATAATAATAATAATAATAATAATAATAATAATAATAATAATAATAATAATAATAATAATAATAATAATAATAATAATAATAATAATAATAATAATAATAATAATAATAATAATAATAATAATAATAATAATAATAATAATAATAATAATAATAATAATAATAATAATAATAATAATAATAATAATAATAATAATAATAATAATAATAATAATAATAATAATAATAATAATAATAATAATAATAATAATAATAATAATAATAATAATAATAATAATAATAATAATAATAATAATAATAATAATAATAATAATAATAATAATAATAATAATAATAATAATAATAATAATAATAATAATAATAATAATAATAATAATAATAATAATAATAATAATAATAATAATAATAATAATAATAATAATAATAATAATAATAATAATAATAATAATAATAATAATAATAATAATAATAATAATAATAATAATAATAATAATAATAATAATAATAATAATAATAATAATAATAATAATAATAATAATAATAATAATAATAATAATAATAATAATAATAATAATAATAATAATAATAATAATAATAATAATAATAATAATAATAATAATAATAATAATAATAATAATAATAATAATAATAATAATAATAATAATAATAATAATAATAATAATAATAATAATAATAATAATAATAATAATAATAATAATAATAATAATAATAATAATAATAATAATAATAATAATAATAATAATAATAATAATAATAATAATAATAATAATAATAATAATAATAATAATAATAATAATAATAATAATAATAATAATAATAATAATAATAATAATAATAATAATAATAATAATAATAATAATAATAATAATAATAATAATAATAATAATAATAATAATAATAATAATAATAATAATAATAATAATAATAATAATAATAATAATAATAATAATAATAATAATAATAATAATAATAATAATAATAATAATAATAATAATAATAATAATAATAATAATAATAATAATAATAATAATAATAATAATAATAATAATAATAATAATAATAATAATAATAATAATAATACTCATACTGTTTATTGACATTTAACATGTACAAAATTGGGTACATTTTTAGTCAGTGGAAATCTTACATAGCTAAAATATTATATTATAAAACCTAA